AACAACAACACGTAAACAACAAAACAACAAAATGTAACAAAACAATGGTTGTTTTCCTTTGGTTCTCTTGACACGCCCCAAAAAGGATACCCTCAAAGGATTGCACGGCCAATGCCAGACCTTGCACGCCAAGCAGGACAGCATGGCAGAGCTGCTCGGCGAATGGCCCATGCTTTTTTGGTGGCTCGTCTTTTCTCGAGGGTACCCTTTTCACCTTGGTTTGAATGGAAACCAGGGACACCAAAAGGACAAGTGGTGTTTTGGTTTTCCGATTTTGAACACAAACCCACAACACTCTAAGTTGCGGCTTTCACAAATCACTTTCTTTCTCAAGGCTTTTAGCCTTGCAGCAACAAAAGGCGCAGCCTGTTTTTGTTCAGTTTGTGCAGGTAAAGTGACTGATTGCCAAGCTTGTCACAATCATATGCCATGCGTGTATTTCGCTTAGTTATTGATCCTCCAAGCTGTAAATCACATAATATTGCTGGGGATGTTTTTGAGCAACCGTGGGTCTACCTAGCCTGTAAGTAATATTGGGGGAATCCAAGAATAGCATGGGTGCCATATTGCTCGACTCGGATGTTGTATCCGCAAGTTCAGACTTCTGCAGGTTCACAGTCTGCGATGCCACTGCCCGATTGCGCGCACGATTCTTCGCCACGGACAAGACGCAGGAGTGTAAGAATGTATTGTCTGTATGACTGAATGATTATGGGGTTCTTTAAAGCATGGGGATGTAAGGGGAGGGGGGGGTAGTTGGAACCATTTAAGGCATTACAAGCTTCCCTCGTAGAGCTCCTTGGCAAACAACTTTCCCAAGGACTTTTAAAGGCCCCCCCAAATTTATTGGGCTCCCTTGAGCTCCCCCGCTTTCCCTTTCATTGTGGCTAGGTTTGGCTTTGCCCCTGCTGACCAACCCAGAATTTTGGGAGAATGCAGTTTCAAAGGGGAGGCCAAGGGAAGCTTGGGGAAACCAAGAAAATTCCAGGGGAGGCTTGGGGACTTAGGGAGTGTCTGAGCTTAGGGAGCCTTGGGGATTAGGGAAGCTTGCTTAGGGAGCTCTGGGAAGCCTGGGGAAGCCTAGGGAATAGGATTTGGACTTCTCAGCTTGAGTTGGGTTGCTGGACAAACAAGCAAAGGACCAAGTGCTTTGAGAAGAGATTTGTGGCGGGCAAGGGAGATGAGGGTTCAGCAAGATTCAGGATTTGGGCTTCCCCAGGGCTCTCTAGTCCACACCCAGCAACCCCCCCTCTTGCATCCCTCCCTTAAGAACCTCATAAAATGATGTTCAAGGCTCAGTGTCCGACACGCTAAAGCACTCTTGCATGGAGTCTTCTTAATGATTAGACAAAGCGCGTGGTTTGCAGATATCCCAAATGTGTCCTCGCACGCATGTCTTCCGGCAAGGTGGCGATACGTTGCGAAGATTAAGGGAAATTGTGATTGACGCTTGACTCGGAATGTATTGCCTGAAGGAAGGCCAAAGGCTTGGGCGAAAAGGGGGATTGTTACGTTGGACTGGCTCCCGGGCTTGGTTCTTACGTCGATACATCTCTAGGGTGCCTGGTTGCTGTTCCTGGGTATTTGGGCGAGGCAACCTTCATGAACTTCGTGGCACCTGTGTGAATGGCCCGAACCTGGTGGTTCCGGGGTTCGCAACATAATGTGCACGGGCATCTCTTTGAGTTGAGCAAATTCGAGCAAAGTGCTGACAAGGGGAATGTGATCTCAGAGAACACGTGAGCCATGAGCCACGTGGCACATTGTCTGAGGAGAAAGCTATTCAGAGCGTCACTGAGGGCAACTGGGTCGGGGATCTCAGCCTGAGCTGGTTGCCTCCACAGCTTTAGCTCTGCTTCCTAACCTGCATCAGCAATATTGCCATATTCTGCAGCATTTCCCTCGGGACAAGCACTGCAACACAATAGTCATCAAATCATCTCAGAGCGTCGTCATCTTGTTGGCAGCACTGGCTGGCAAAGCAACTGGGCAATTGCGATGGTCGCACCATCCCGAAGGGATCTTTGTGCAGTGTCAACAAGCTCTCAGAGGATTGGACGCCAGGATTCAGAAGATCCTGCTGCGAAGCAAGTGCCTGTGCATTTCCTCCCTTCAGATCAATCTGTCTAACAGGCAAAGCAGGAGCAATCAAGCAATCAATCAAGCAGGCTGGCAGGCAGGCCAGCAAGCTGGTCCTGTTGTCATATCTGCAACGTTGATCAATATCTATTACCTGCGCCGCCGAGTAAGAGAGCGCAGAGGTAGCAATCGCCAAAGTCATCAGCACCAGCTCTACCGCCTGTTGCGCAAAGCGCCTCAAGGGGCTTAACACAGACTGAGCAAAAAGAAATCCCCAACAGCCACAGCAACGATGAAACAGGCGGGCTCCTCAACAGCATTGATTGTAAGCAAGGCCCGGGTCCCACTTGGCACATGACCGAGTTGAACCCGCGGCTGCCAATGAGGTGAAGCTCTTTGGTCAGTTCCGTGCGGCGCCAACTCCGCACTTCTCGGTGTCCATCCTGAGGGAGGTGAAGTCAGCCCCTTCGGCTACACAATAGCGCATGAAGGGGTGGCACTGCTGCTGACAAGGATAGAAGTACTGAAAGGGAATGCGCCACTCAGTCCTTTGGGTTCTGAAAGGGAGGTTTGTGGAAAGGTAGCTTAAGCCCAGATACTTGTTGACCCAAGGAGCGGCGCTGAATTCAGGGTTGATGTCAGATATTCAGTCCAGAGACCTGCTCCTTTGCCTACAGCAGTTCATTGCTGTTACCTTGCCACCTGACAAGAGGAAGATGCCAGCTTGAGGACGACATGGGATTCTTAGTGAAGGTTGGACTCGTAGTATTTGCTCATTCACATGGACGGGCGCCAGCCGAGAGAGCGTGGGGGTACTGTTCGTGCCAAGGCTGATGAGATCAGTCACCACTTGATCGAGGCACGCCGCCTGCAGGTAGCCAAACAACCAGCCACCATTGGAGATATGCCCTACCTGCCTGGCAACTGCCCGCCCAGTACAATCAAGAGCATTTTCAGGTATGGGCTTTGGAGGTATGAGACCTTGCTTGAAGATCCCCTTGACGCTGTGCTTTTGTACTGGGAGACGCCATGTTCCAATGGGAGCTGCCAAAGCCTACTCCGGACACCAATCCTGTACTGGGAGCTTTGCGATGCACATGTCCATTGCTAAAGTTGATGGCAACTCAGGGGTGGGCCTTATCCAGAGCAAACATTCAAGCAGATGCCAGCAAGCGCTACAGGCGCCATCCCTTTTTTCGAGCTTCCGAGGTGGTGCATGCTGCTCTGAAGAACCGCCAGCACAATGGCCGGAGCCCTACGCGCCAAGCTGCACCATATGTGCAGCTGCCACATCTTCTCCACAAATCCTTCCTAAATAGGAGCGGTGCAAAAGCACAGCAATATCCTTGGTTCCTCCGCACCCGCACAGGTTCTCATTTACAGTTCCCCCTACTGATTCAAGCATTTTAGGTGCCCTGCAGTTTTGTATCCCATTGCCAGTATTCCTTCTTTTTCCGGGAGCTTAATTTGCTTGGAGGGGATTCGGAGCACAAAAGTGATGAAAGGCTACCATTTGGCCACCCACACGGTAGCCATTTGGGGCCTGAGCATTCGTCCACAAACACGCGCGGGTTCAGTTTGTGGAGCTTCCTGAATATGTTTTTCAGTCACCTGCTGAGTTCATAATTTTGTGTTTTTGGGTTGTTGCTCCGGGTCAGTTCAAGATGCTCATGTTCTATTTCCAAAAAGCGCTGCACTGGCTACGTGTTTGTTGGGCGGTTAGTTTCAAGGGAAACCGAAAGAAAACTCCATGTTTGGGATTCCGAATTTTTGACTAGCCCCACTCACGGCCTGTGTGGATCTCTATGTTGGTCACTGCAAGTACTGTGGCAATATGAGATTGGGAGAGCGACGCTGGTGTTTGCTCAGGAGTCGCAGCAGAGAATTGAGTGGCTGAGCGATGAGAGAATCGAAGGACATTTGAGATGTTTGCAAACTAAACGTAGAATCTCAGAAGGTAGCTGTTGACGGAGAGACTGAAGTTGCAGTCACTCCCGCCAATCTGCGCAGCTTGAACAGGTCCCAGGTGCCACTTGCACAACTCATCATTCTTGGCAACGCAGCTTCTTCAGATACCCAAGTTGCATTGTGCCGTTTGAATAGAAGGTATGATAGCATCATTTGCATGCACAATGGATTGCTGTTCAGGCTGCAGGGGGCTCGGTTGATTCCCTAAAATCTGAAGTAAACCAGCAACAACACCTGCGTAGCGAATAGCAAGGCATCCTTGTTTCCTACTTGCGATGCATAGGGAATCAACCATATGCCATTGATGGCCACCGGTTTGTGGCCGACAATGGCGCATGGCGCAGAACTAAAGAAGCTGCCGGCACTTTCTCTCGGCTCTGCAACAGCACGGTTCGCGGTTTTGCTGAATCGGCCAGCTTGAGTAGCTGGCCTTCTTGGAATCCCAAGGTGTGTCAACTCAAGGCTTTTGTCCTTGAAATTATGCAGCTACCCGAAAAATCGTGGCTCAGGCACTGGTCCATTAGTTTGGAAGAAAGGACTGCCAAGGCTTATCGCTTGCTTAGATTCATACCAAAGATGCACTGCATGGTGCAAGCAAGTACTCCATTTGGAGCCCAGATGTTTGATAATGATGTGTGAAAAGCGGCCCGTTACTGTTGGGTCTCAGTTCGTTTTCCTAAACGTTGCTCTCGCGCCCCAGAAGACTGAAACCAGCCCGCACCAATTGATGTCTCCCTTGGGCGTGAAAAGGCCCAATTTCCTCGCAGATCATGTGAGATGGCAGTTGCCAGTCTCTCCACACCCAAGCTCTTAGCCTCCTCACAATTTGAGAGAGTTACATCCGGCATTGCTTCTTCTTTTTTTGTTTGTTAGGCAGTATGAAAAAGGAGTTCATTTTGTTGAATATGTTGATGTGTGCATATCCAGCATATCCAGCCGAGCTCCCTGAAAATCCGTCTGCTCGATTCACCGACCGCATGTCTTCGCGCAAACGGCATGGGTCGCAGCTCCAGCTCGCGGAGCCGCTCCAACTCCTCATGCTCAGGCGAGCGCAACGGGGGAGAGGTGGGCGAAAACCCTTTGAGACATGAAGTTTTTTGTCGTTTTTGACGGCGCCACCGCTTTTTGTTTTTGGCTTTTTGGGGAGCCAAAAGGAATGCCAGCAATTTTTTTGGGGGGTCCCGAAAAAAGAAGAACTGCCCACCGTCGTTTGTTTCGATGTCTTGGGGGTTTCGATGTGTCAGGCTCGCGCAGCCGGAGCCGGCGCAGCCGGCGCAGCCGGCGCCGGAGCCGGAGCCGGAGAGCGCGGAGCGCGTCTCGCAGCGCCTCTTCGCGCCTTGGGCGAGTTGCCGCGGTTTGGCCCGGAGTTCAAAGGGGCGCCAGGTAGGGGCGCCAGGTATACCTGGCCACCGTTGGGGAATGTTAAAAACTTGTGTGAAAGATTCTGTGGAAGGCTCAGCAGAGTCTGGAATTGTTAGTGGATCTTGAAAACGCGGCTTTGTAATCGGTGGTTTTCAACATTAGCCCTCCAGCAACATTTGAGCGGTGGAAGGTATGTAATCAACTGCCAACGCCGCAAGGCGTTTGAATATCACGCGAGAAGGTTTATGCAATGCTTATGTCGGCATGACAGTGTAAGCCTGTTTTTTGTTTGCTCCGCGGAAGCACATGGCAAGTTGCACAGCAAGCGGCGTGATTGCAAAGGGTGGAGACATCGGTCACCTATGACAGCTGAACGGAGTGAAAGATTGAACATTCATACCAGTCTTATGTTTTGTCCGGCCTACACCACGCCTCCGCCAGACACTTCCCAGCCCCCATTGTTAAACGGCTCCACAGTCTTAGTGAGGTCCACTCTTGTGCCACCTTACTATAAATAAAAGAGTTGCAATTCCGATACAAGCTGAACGCGAGGTCCACCTACCATTCCAAGCAATTGCGCTTTCCATCAATCCAACTTTTTTGTAAACAGTAAAACCAGCTCACTAAGGTCCCTGGATTTCTTATTTCCGGGACGCGAAGATGTGCCCATGCGACTACGACACGCAACATGTTCCCGTAGGAAGAGTTGTGGCCGGCGCCTGCCCAAAGCTTGGCGTGGCCGAGCCGGCAGCAGCAGCTCCAAGCGAAGTACCAAGAGCGGGGAGCAGCTTTGGCGGCGCTTGCGCCGGGTGCGGCCCCGCAGCGCCAGCAGAGAAGCGCAGAGGGAGCTGGAGGCCGACCACTCGGTTTTTTGGACGGGTGGGAGGTTTGGAGTGGTTTCAAATGGAATGGATTTGTAGCATTGTCATTCTGGTGTCAAGTGGAAGGGGAGTTAGAGGCCTTCGGTTTGTGGCTTTCGGTTTGGCTTTTGGCTTGCCTTTCGGTGTGGCCTGTGGCCCTGTGGTCTAGCTGCGCTTTGCTACGCCATGGCTTTTTTTTTTGTTTGTTTTAATGTTGCCACGTGTTGCAATGGCTTCGAATGATCGACGGTTTTTGTGAGCCCAGATGTTCCTGTAAGTACCCTCAGAAGCACTGCACCATCGGCGACAAACACAAGCTTTGTGCAGAGCAGCTGCGCTCATTGCTGCATCGCAGGCAAGTAAACAACCATGGTCCAGTTCACTATAGTATTTATTGTTGTTATTATTATTATTACTATTATCAACAGCAGTAGTATCAGCATTATTACTATTGTGTTCATTGTGTTCTATAGTATTATTGTCATGCATAATTATGTTTATTAGTATTGTTATGTTTAAAATTATTATTGTTACTATAATTAGTATGTTTATTATTTGCTATTTATTATTGTTATTGCTGTTATTGTTATTATGATTTATTATTATTAGTATTATTATTATTCTTATTATTATTATTGTTATTATTATTATTATTATTTATTATTATTATTATTATTCTGCATTGACTGTCACAGAGACGGACCTCGACTGCTTGGACTGCCGTGTGTGGTGAGCCAGATAAGAAAATTGGGTGAGGCATGAGATCACTTGCTTCGGGGAATCCACTTGGATCCCGCACTAAGCAAAGCTCGTCAAGTCGTGAGCGTATCTCTAAGGCAGCCTCGAAGCACTGTCGAGGTGTACCGCTTGTCTCCATTGGCAGTCGCATCATGACATGCTCACAAGCTTTGCCCTGCCACTAAGACCTCTTTAAGTCTATGTTTGGGAGTTCTAAACATGCTACGTGGCTGTGATTACCGCGAATTCTGCCTCATCTCGCCCACATGTTCTCTGGATCGATCTGGGTTCCAAACTGGAGCTGGCAAAGACTTGGGAAAGGGAGCGAGGGAAGCGGCGTGAGTATCTCAAAGCCTGAAATCACGGGCGGAACGCGGCGGGCTTGGGAGAAGAATGGCGGGGGCATGGGTCAAGGCTTTGTCTACCCTTGTTCACTGGTTGGTTCACTGTTATTTGATAGTGTCAAACACTTCCACGGGAAGAAGATGGGAAGAAGCAACCAGGCTCTTTGCTTGGGCTTGCCTTTCAACAGACTGCTCCAAGAACTCCTCACTGCCAACGGCAGAGCCACAATCAAAAGTACGGGCAGAAGGTTCGAAAGGGACAGTCCCAAGCATCGGGAGCCGTCTTCAGTCTTGATTCTTAATTCATGACTTGGGGATTGAAGTGGGGACACTGCTTTGCCAACCATGATTCTTAACATGTTGCCTCCATTTGTCCCATTTGTTTTTCGCCCAAGAATCAAAGTTGGGGGGTCAACCAAAACGTCCCAAACGGTTCGCAGGATGATGACATGCGGGAGCAGCGGGGCTTGGAGAAGAAGCTGCCGCTTGACCCATGCCCACAGGGACCTTGAACGGATGCCAAAGGGAGGCGGTTGAAGCAAGTTGTGTCGGAGCAATTGTTTGTTTTCATTTTTTTTGGGCTCAAACAAGTTCTTACTGAATGTGATGATGCTAAGTTGTGACCTTCTGCGGATGCTGCGTTGCAAGGACGTGAAGCTGATGGGTAAGTATAGGTCTGTTGTGCATCACGCCGTCCAATATCCATCGGAGTGATTTGTGAGCGTGCAATATGGGTGTGTCCTTTTTTGAGGGTACGCCCGGTACGCCCTTGTTGGTATTTTTAAACGGAAGCCAGTAGGGAAACCACCATTTTGGGGGTCCCCGAAAAAAGACACTCCCATATTGGAAGGGATGTCCTTTGTGATCGGAGATTCAACGAGGTTGCTGCCTGCCATAATGAATGTTAGGCACGAAACAGGAACTACTAACGCTCGGGGGCAGTTAGCTTTTCACAGCCAATTGCGGTATGTGCTCTTTGAGGGTACTAGGGGAACCGAAACGAACCATTTTTTGGGTCCCCGTATTTTGATGCACCCATTTCTGCATCAGAGGCAGAAGATGGTCCGGGAGAATCGGCGGCGGGAGGCTTTGCAGACCGCCTTGAGGCGCTGTTGGGCGCCGTGCGACATGCATGTAGGCTCATATCGCCATTTGGGTATGGATTTGTTTGAGGGTAGCCTTACCACCATTTTCGGTTTTGGCGCAGGTACCCATTTCAAGTTGCTAGTTGTCCAGTGTGTTTCGAGACTGACTTGTATTGAGGGTGCAGTCAGCTTGAAGCACATTGCTGGGTTCTACTGTGGAGGAACAGAATCCTGCACCACTTGGGACGGGTGATTCCCTATGAACCACCCACCAACTGGTGCAGGATTCTGTCCATTCACGGTACTCCTGAGCTGCTCTTGGCCGGAACACAGCGCGATTGGCACGCTGCCGACCCTGGAGGAACGGAGCAACTCCCCCCGAAAGCGTTCTGGATGCCCTCTCTGAACAGGGACACGGGATCAACATCAACGATTGAATCCTGGAACCACGCGGGTGTGTCCCTTTGTTGGGACCCCATTCCGGGTGAAATGTAGAGACCTCACTGGACATGCAGGCTCCTTGAAGGAGGTCTCAAATGCGATCCGGCCCGGACTCCAAGACGCAGCCTGTTGCACAGCGTATCAAGATCGGTCTTGCGCATGGAAGTCAGAAAGAATAGGAAGCTGACCTTGGCATTGGATGCATTCGAGAACAATAGCATCAGCATGAATGCCTGCAAGCCACTTCCATGAGGGTCGTCAAAGCATTGTCTATGGGAAGTGTATGGCCCATTCGTTCTCAGTCAGCTCTGGGGTCGCGCCATCTTTCATTACACATGCTGAAAGGTGAGCAAGCTCATGAGATCGGACAGGCCTCGCTGCGGAGTTCGCGTGGCTGAAGCATTCAGAATGCAACTGTTGCAACTTGTTGCGAGAGAAGGTGGTCATCAGTCAAAACTTGAGCCAACGGCAATCAATGAATACCTTCGAATCATACCTGACGAGCCTTCTGTGATTCCGAGTTTACCGCGCAGAATGGTGTGTCTAAATAGGGAACCCCCCCCCCAACGTTTTTTTTCGCTTTCCTGCCGGTTTCCCTCGAAGCCAAAGTGAAAAGAAATCGTAACTTCGGTTACCTTCTCCCCAAAACAACACGCACACCTCCCCAGGAGGCTTTCGATAGGCCTTCCTGTGGCACTCAGGAGCTGCTGGTAGGAATGTTGGTGTCCGTGCCTTAGTCGCCATGCTCGTTGTGGGAAATTCGCAAGCTGGATTTTCCGACCCGCCTTTGTTGTTATTTTAGGGGAAGTTAAAAGGACACCCTTGTGCCATTTTGGGGGGTCCCAATTTGGAGAGCTTCCCATATGAGTGTGTGTTTCTTGAGGGTACCCCTTTATTTCGGCTTCAAGGCAAACCAAAGCGAAAGCCACTATTTTGGGGGTCCTCTTAATTTGGCACTCATGGAGAGAGAGCGAGAGAGAGAAAGAGAGTTTGCCACGAGAGTTGGTCGAAGAGCTGGGGTTCTTCAAAGCCGATCCGCAAGATCCTTATGATGGTGATGGCTTCCCTTCCTACAATGACTGTGGTTTATCACTGCGGATTGTGGATTGGGGACCGAACAACCCAGAAAAGAAATCCATCTAGCATGTTGGCAAAGGTGACCGAATCTGCCAGACAGGAGCATGTGAGGCCAATCAACTAGTATTTGTGTGTGTGTGTGCCAGCATCTTGCCGGGAGTATTGTTGTGAGGGCACCTTAAATGGGTTCTACTAAACAAGTTGCAGCTTGCACCCGGACCGGACAATGTGCGCATCAGGTCATCAGGGGCCAAATCATTTGCTATAGAAACCCAGACGGACGGTTCCTGAGGAACGCTGCCACTTCCCCAGGGCCGGAGATCTTCGCCTATACGCTGCAGTGCGCCGTGGTTGCCGCGCTCTCAGTCCATTTGAGTCGCCCTGAGTCGCGCGAAGGGAAAGTCGGAAAGTGCTGAGGGGCTTGTTTCCAAGGAGAAGCAACGGGCTCTGCAACAGATTGCTGCAAAATTGGTTGTTTTCACCTGATTTTCCACTGTTCCACGGTCTGGGCCTTGAGCCCTGCTTTTTGCAATGCAGGCTAGTCGTGAGTATCTTGCATCCAGACCACAGGGTGGGATGCACGAGACAAAGTTGTAGGGTTTGGCAGGTCTATGTGGTGTACACTTCAAGCGATGTGTTGTTTCCTGCATAGGCTCAGTCAAGTCCGATTCGCGCGATCGAATACAGCAGCGACGCCCGCAAGATAGTGTACATTTGGAGATCCGCTTTATGCATGAGCTTGCTTTGGGATACTATTGGCATTGCTCAATTTGTCAATCCAGAGGAAGGAAGTATAAAATATATGTTGAGTCTTGGAGCTAGTCTTTGAGTTTTTGCAGAACTGCGGATTTCAGGAGGTTTCTTCTTCCACCTGTTGGTCCCGGTGATGCTAGAGATGTTGCCAAGAGGGTCTTGATGCAAACGGCTTCCCCAGTCCCATCTCGATCGGATCGATCCGACTCGAGGCAGGCGGCTTGCGCCTGACCTGCGAGGAGTTCTGCAAGATCTTGGGGACCGATCCATCGAGTCGCCGAGTCGATGGATGAGCGATGCTGATGAATCGAATGCGGGAACCCTGTGGACATTCAGAACCCCTTTGGTGGACTTACATGTCTTTGGGAACCCTGTTGGTGACTTCTGTGGAAAGCTGATGTCCAAAAAACAATATCATGTGGGAGTTCCATTTCGATTGAACTTCGCACCATTTCGATCAACTGGGAGTTCTGAAGGGGCGGGAAGCAACCCCCTGGCCCTGAAAGCCCAGGAAAGCTGATTGAAGCTTCAAAGCTCACGGTGTGGATCGAAGCAGTTTGTAGCGCTGCTAAACCAGGTCCTTAGGTTTCGAATGTGTGAAGATGCCACTGGAATAGGGTCATGGTAAAGTCGGGGCTCGAATCCATTGATACATTGGGAGTGCCCATAGAGGGGCTCCTTCACATTTTGGAAAGTCTCTAATCATCCATATGCTTCATCAATCCGGGGTCGACATTAGGTCTCTCTCGTCAACTGCAAACCATCCAACACGCTTGCTGGGGTACAGCACCTGGCCGCAATGAGTTGGACAAACGGCAGGCGAGTTCAATCCCTGTGCTCCGGGCGTGTCGTATGTTTTAATGCCACTTTGGCCTAGTCGTTGAGGTCAGAATCCGCATGGGGCTTCTCTGGCGATGTCACGCCTTGGAGGTCACGGCGTATTCTCAGAGAAGATCCAAGCTGAGAACTGGGTCATCCACCAACCGCTGTAGATTTGAAGGGAAGCGCTTGGTGTGTCTTCGATTGCCTCAGCCTCAGAGGCCCATGTCGTCTTCGGAACTTCCAGCTCCATTCGCGCCAGGATCATGTTTTTCCGAAAGGCGCCGGTGCCGCAGATCCGGGCGTTTCTGAACGTGGCGTTGCCAAAGGACTGGCCAAGAAGCGCGAAGAAGATAAGGTGCTAGGGAAATCATCAATGGAATCAGCACATGCATGGGAGAACTGGATGGATGGACGGACAGATGGATGATGGATGGATGGATTGCTGTCTTGACGAATGCTCTTGCTTTACTTGCACGTTGTTCAGCTCTTCTTCGGAAACAGGATGACTTGCTGAAAGGTGCTTCGTTCCTTCCCTCCCAAGTTTAAGGAGTCAGCTTGCACGGCATCACTTGCATCGCCTACATCACTTGAATCATGAAAAGACGGACCCAGCTTCCAGAACATGTTGAGTTTGTTCAGTGAGAATCCGTGGCTATGATGTAGGTCCAAGTTCAAGAATTGTGTTGGATGTGCGTATTGGTATGCGCGAGATAATATCGCGAAATGGAGGTGAACAAGGACTTTAACACTATAGTGGTAGCAGAGTCCATCGGGTTGAAATGGAATGGCCATGTTATTGAGAAAGCAAGACTTAGTTCAGTTGTACTGCCTGCCTTGCCAATCACAAGGGCCGCTAAGGAAAATCACAGACACTGACAACATGCAGAATTTCATGGAAAGAAAGGCAACAAGCAGGAAAGCATCCAGTTTGCTTTGCTCGTTTGGAACCTGCGCGTTTTTGCAGACTTGCCGGAATTTATGCCGGTCTGCAGCTATTGCGCCGACCCTGACATCACTCACCATGCCGGCACTTGCTTTCCATAGGGCATGCACCGTGAAGCTTGAATGTGAATGAATGCAGGTTTTGCTTGACGTCTTGACTTCCACCAATGCTACTTCACGAATGGCGTTTTTTTTGCAGAATCTAGCAGAGCCCCCCCGGAATAGAGCATTTCCTGAGTTAAAAAGGGCCACACCCCTTCGTAGCGTCAATAGACTCAATCCGGAGTTGACCGACGGACGGGAGACGCAGGATGCAAACCCCGTGCCCGTGATTCCCGCTGGCCTCACTGCAGAGGCGATTGCACCGGGCTCCCTTCAGATGAACATGGGAGCCCAGCAAACAAATCGGTTTCTCTTTTTTGGTTTTGCCGGGGGGGGGGGAAGCTTCTTGTGGAGAACCCTCCTTGGCTTCCATGTTAATTCGCAAAGCAAAAAAACAAAAAAAAAACTTCGCAAAGGGTCGAGCAGAGAGACTTTGCCATAGAGCCTGTGGATGGGGTGAAGTCACTCGAATCCTTAAAATGTGAAACACTGGCTACAACGTGAGGAATTCGGATTGTTTGATTTGGGTCATAGAGCTACATGCTCCCAACATCCCAACATGTTGCGATGCCCTGTTACGGGCCAACTCTGAGGCTCCACTGAGGGCCAAGACGAAGTACAATGTTTGGCCAAGTGAGGAATGCTGGTTCGCTCTAGACGCCATATTTTGCGAAGTGCACGCTTCGCAAGCTTGCTCGCCAGTGGAACAGCGCCTGGCATGACTTGGCAAACGCTGGCCAGTAAGCTCAGCTCTTGCGGCTGTCTAGTCAGCTGTGCAGCGGCCCACTTCGCCTTGGCCCAACCGCATGTTTCCTGCCGCATCCCTGGGAGGCCGAGCAAATGTTCAGCGACGAACGCGTGCTGCCGGAGGAAGATGGGTTTCAAGCACTGCGTGCATTGGGCCTGCAAAGTCAGTCTGATATACACCCGACCGAGCTCCCAGCACACACACACACACACGTCCAATCGGAGGTTGCGTCATGTTCACACTTCATTGAGAAGCGTTTGGTGCTGCTGCTTGAAGCGCTGTAGCCCAAGGGCAACTGTAAGTGAGGTCACAGTGAGATCAGGCGCGCGCAGATGTGGCACTTGAGACGAACATGGTACCTTGTATGAAAGCCGACCTGACTTTTTTATTTTTTAAAAATGAAAACAACAAGCGTAACAAAGAGAGTATGATCCTAACCACTGGCTGCCCCATGAGATTTGCAGCCTGCCTCCTCGGTGGTTTACATTTGAATCCCCAAGCAAAGTACGAAGACGCACGCACCCATTTCTTCAGCTCATGGCATTGAGAGCTTTTGCTTCAAGCCCACGGTTCCTGGGCACAAGTTGTTTCCCGTTCCCCCGGTTCAAACAGCTTTCAGGTTAGGCAGAGTGATCTCATTCTGGGCGATAAAGGTGTCAGGCTGGGTCCATTTTAGCCTACGTCTCGTCGTCAAAAGCGGGATCTGTTGCCCATTTGGGCTGCAGCCCACCGCAGAAGAAGTACATTGTGCAGTCGGAAACCCGCTCAGCCATTTCAGGAGGTGATTGTACTACTTGATTTGAGGAAGGTATAGCAAGGGTATGTAAACCTTCACAACTTCACAACCACCTTTGTCGCACCATGAGTCAATGGTAACAGAGAATGTTTTGCAAAAGAAGCAAGCATGCACGCCGCAAGGCAGCAAGCTTGCCATTGTTGAGTTTGTCCAGGATTGCGAGGCCACTTCTTCAGAAGAGGAGGAAGAGGATCGAAGTGGGCAGCCACCCTCAGCAATCACCATGCAGCAGTGCACCTTGGCCTTGCCGGATCCTAGGGACTGAAGGCTAGACTTGCTTAGGATCTCATCTATTTTTAAGGCTTAGGTTCTTACGAATCCGAGTCCTAGGAACTGTGTGATGGGAGGATTGCCAATGCCCAGCTGCAGCACGATTTACACAGCTGGTGTTTGATACAAAAGAAGAGACCGACCGAAGAGTTTGCTCGGCATTGGTGGTGTGATTCTGGAGGATTCAACCTTGCGCTGGCGTAGTACTATTATGTGCCTAGACAATGACTTAGGAATCGGTGAATTGGTCGGTGTGTGTGTGTGAAACCTCCTCGTGCACAGAGGCATGGCGTCACTACCAGCTTTTGATTATATATATATATATTTATTTTGCAGGGGGGCCGAGCTCTCTGGTGCTACTCGGTCCAACGAAGCTACGCATCAGGAGGGAAGCATCCAATGGCCATGGATGTGTACCTGCAATTTAACTATCGAACCTTTGCTTCATTGTCTTGCACTCCAAATTGTGTGTGCGGGTACCTGTCAATGGCATCTTACATGATTGTTTTCTGATGTTCCATGCATCCGTCCCTGATAACACGTTGCATCAATTATAGTTTTGACTGGCCCTAGTTTTGTACATTCCGTGCGTCACCATCAGACGAACATGACC